GCCTAACACAAGCGTCTTAACATAGACGTCCATAGTTATAAACTGCTTAACTTTGTACTTAATTTCACCTTCAATAGCCATGTCTCGTAGCTCTACTGCATAACGGAGGGAACTGCTGCATAATACATACGTCCTTTAACGGGAAGCAGGACATAATGTCTGTGTGAAAGATAACTCGGAATAGCAAATGTCAAACAAGCAATCAGTAACCGCTTTATCAGCGACTGAAGTTATTGAAGCGGACCACACATTCAACCATTTCCTGTAACATCACCTTACTTCTCATAGATATGAATCACGTACCAAGGTGTTCATTTTCTTGCATACATGATGGCAAATGAGGCTAAGATAACTATAAGTCTGAATTAAATTGACAGATTCCTCTGGGCTTTGATTCAAAGTTGTCACCTGTTATCTACGAAGTTCTTTATGCATATCACTGTCACCATTTTGGCATCAAATCGTATAAGTTTCTTAAGGACACCAATGGGCAGTTTAGTGAGTTCAGTAAACTAAACTTCAATATTCTATTTGCTAACCTGTTGTCAACAGGCGGCTAATTCATTAATTGCCCCATTGAACCAAACACTGGAATTGAACACCATATCAGTTTACAACAATCAGCCCAACCTAATGCTTCATTTCTTATCCACATTCTTTAACATGAGACCTTAACAATTTGCGCCTAGAAAAAAATGCTCATTAATTGTCCAAAAGAATTACTTAATTTTTTTCACTGTCACATTACGAGTTTTCGTCGGGAAACACTCATTATTTACGCTTGTAAAGGTGAATATACACTGTTGATAATGTCCTCTTATAGTTGACATCGATCAGTTTTTAATATGATATTTCCTCGTGATACAGTCAGTTTAACGCTTCAAAGTGTGATTATTAGGCTAATGTTTAATGAGAGGTATATGTCTAATGAAAAAAACATGGATTAGAAAGGCAAATCTAATACCATTCTTCTTCTTCTACTTCTTCAAATCTCATCACTACCACATCCTATCTTTTGAAGATAACCGAGTTTCACTGTGATAAATACCTTGAGTAAATTGAGGTTATTCCGTCTTATCGAACAGAAGACAGCCTAGTACGTGTTACCCGTCACTGAAGAAATGTATGATCACCATTGAACATCCTGCACTGAAGAGAATAAACTCCACAAACCCTAGAAGCCAACCACTCACAGTTCACAGTACACAGGTCACTATTGTTGACGAAACTTTCAGCCGTCTGCAAGCACAAAACATAGATAAAGTCTGTGCTCACTGTAATGTATTATTAGTAGTAGGTTAGGAACATGTTGTATTATAATAAATGAGGGAATTCAATTTAAGAGACTAAATCATGATATGTGTGAACAAATCAATGCACTAAGAAGTCTGAAGGTTTATGTGGCCTGTAAACCAACAGCATATACACTCAGTTCAGCTGATTATTCGTTAGTTTTTTTTCCTTCACGTTCCCCAGTGGAACATAGGGCTTCAAGCTAGTGGCTTGAAGTTTCTGTAGCAGTGTTTATTTTACAAGATGGGGTTGCTAGCCTCATGCCCAACCTTTCCTCTTCACTAGCTTTTAGTTCTGGCTTAGCGATTAATTAATTTCCTTAATTTGCTGCGCAGTTTTGGACATCAGAAGCACACATGAAATTTGATCGGTTCCATTTGCAGAAGACAGGCGGGAAGAATGGATGAAATGGTGGTACTTTCCAATATCTGACAGAATATACATATCAGCCTATGGTATTTGTAGTTCAGATATGTTTTCGCTTTTACTTTTTCAACATCTTGACACATTCTCTGCTAAGATTTATCAAAAATTGATTGTTTTCTATGAACAGCATCGCATACTTGCTAATACCAAATAACGCTTACTCCATTGCTTTTTATTTCGATTAGCCATCTGTCAAAATGTCTCAATATATTACGCTATAGTACGTAAACGTGAATTGAGGCGCATCGGAATTCATTTATAGATCAAAAGAAATACTGTCACTCTGTCAAAAGTTGATGCGTGGACTTGGTTTTCAGTTGATTTGCGTTTTAGACGTGTGTGTGTGTGTATGTTTGTATGCATGAATAGAGTGTGTGTGTGTGTATATACGCATATTTACATTGATACATAAAGATGCGTAACCTGAATAGAAATACAAGCGTGTACATGCACACACACAGACACATACACTCAAACACTAGAATGCCAAGTGATTATGGCATTGGAACGATGATAAAAGAAACTGACAGACTAAATAGTGAGTATGAGTACAAGACGTATTTGCCATGCCATTTTTGATGATGATACTGATACTGACGATGACAGTGATAATGGGTTTGGTTTTTATGATTCATAGGCCTTCTTTTATTACTATGACTGACAGAAAAACAGTGGTTAGTACTGCTACTTTCTTATGCTTTTTGTGTTAGAAAAAGAAATCAGTTTTTTTTACTTTACGCTTACAGAAAGAGATGTGAATAATTGAGCGTCTAGTTAATCGGTGTTTTTCATCAGAATCATCACATGTGTACATGCTTTTTTTGTCTAGTGAAAACTGATTTCGTCTCGCATCTCTTTTTGCCTTTGTTACCCTAACATACTTAACACAAGGTGAATTTTAAAAAGGTTGACGGCTGAGGCTGAACTGCTCGAGGAGTACTAGGGATATTTATGCCAGACTACTGTCTTCTAAAAACATAAAATATTCTACATATTTGGAGCTCATTAAACCACTAGGCTACCTAAATTTTCAATCCGTCAAAACGCATCGTGTTTACTGTGTTTCATATTGTTTTAATGATCTTATTACTATAATGAGACACACTCTATACTCAAGCGCAATTCCATATAAGTTTCTAAGTAATGCTAATTTTTCGAGAACAATGGAGGAGGAACATTTTGAAGTAGTGCTGGAGCAAGCTTCAGCTGGAACAATATTGATTCAGACGATATGTCATCTATTATCAGATTATTTGGAGATTCCGTACAATGAGTAAATACTTTGCAATGAATTTCACTGGAAATTCTGTATTGTATATAAAGCTATTGTATAATAAAGTTATTATTAATAATAATAAACCCTCAAAATATAAATTAAGTAGAGGATGTTTTATTCTGATTGATGTAATGTAGAATTATTATTGTCTCCGTCTCCCCGACTCAATGTCGATCTATTTAATAAATCGACTGTAAACTAATCGGTAGCATTCTGAGATGTATTCAGTAAGATGTTAGTTAACTGATGGAAGTCCTACGTGAAGACGAAGTGGACTGCTTTCAGTTCTTTTTCTGAAGGGTGTTTTGAATAAAATGATGTAATCTAAATATTCTAATAAAGGTGATTACTTGTTAATTTCATGTTACCACACATAGAGAATGGAATTCACTTTACTACGGTTATCCAATTACGTATGTTTTCACCAATGAAGTAGAAATACTTTAACCTTGGTAACACTGGTGGAAATACCCTACTAAAAAGTCAATATTTTGACCTATGAATAGTCCAATGATATGGGTGTGAACAAAATCCTCGTTGGGTGTCATGACCATTAATACACTTGGTAGTTTGCGCTACAGAACTTCCTAACTAGTAGATTTGCTAGCTGACTGATCTAATCACTATTATCAACAACAATGACAGCACGACACGATGCGTTACCACCGAACCCGCGACTCAAGAAGACAGACTGTTGATGTAGAGAGCTTCTACTGTCTCTAATCAACAGTGACAAGAGTTGAGAGCAGTGCGCATATATATATATATATATATATATATATATATATATACTTCAAGTGCCATTGAGAGACACGAATTACACAGATGAGTTAAGAGAGTCAACGACTAAAAGGGCTCCGACGTCATGAGTGGGTGGAATACAGAAACTGTACATTGTAAAGATAAGTGTGGCATTTTAGAAAATTCAGGTCTATATAACATTGAAATATTTAGAACTTCAAGAACCCGGACGAAACACATGAGTGAAGGGCTTCCTTTCTGACGAATCCCAAACAACACGAAATGCTCAACCTGTATTCAACCACTAGCCAAATCCTATCAACTAACTAACGTAGAACTGAGACAAAGGCTTCTCTAGGGCATCTTTCCTGAGAATAGCCAAATATCTACAGAGATCAATAGTTTTGGTTCAGTGAAGCAGAGGGTGGAAAAACACCAGCTTCAATCAATAATCCCTCAGTTTGATTTCTCTTAAGTCTACAAATAAAGAATTGTCTTAACTGGACGACCAAGGGCTACAACGCTTTGGACTAAAATAGTTCACAACAATCAAGAACAGTTTTGTTTGCCACCGTAAAAGGACTGCTCACCAAATGGCCTATGCCCGTCATATGGTTCACCGATGAACAATGTCAAGTTCCTTTGGTTTTAAAGATAGCAGAACCAAGCAACAACAGAAAATAACTCTTTAAGAATTCACCTTTGGGTTCAGCCATTAGTTTCAGCTCGGAAAGTGGAGTGTCTGTACATCAGGAAAAGCGTAGACAGCTGAGGCTCTAATATTGTTAAGAACCACTACTATTAAACTTCAAAATAGATGAGCATAACAGAAATCACTGGCATCAGCTGTCAGATTATCACTGAAATCACTTTGCATCAAGTGCTTTGTTAAGGCTGGTATTAATTGACTTGGTTTATTGCATTGCTTCCCACTAAACAATAAAGCTAATTACCCTCTCAAAAAGCTACGGGAGAACTCATTTAGAATTCAACATTCTGTCAATAAATATTAAAATGTCTTTCTGTCTGTCTGTCTGTCAGATTATTTCTAAATTAATTATTTTAAAATGCGCATTATCAGAACTTAATATTTTATTAAATCACGTGGCTTAATTTCACATTAAACGATTTAACATCTGATTCATACAACGACAACAATACTTAAGTTATCTAAAACTGATTGGTTGAAAAATGGTCCAATCAGAATACAGCCAAAAATGTGGTTTCAAGCCCAGTAAATATATTATTGGTTAAACAGAATTGAATTCACTATACTATAATAGTTTATTTACTGACTATTACACTATTATTACACTAACACATCTGAGTGGAAAAGGTTGTTAGCGGTGCACTAGTGGAGATAACAACATCACATCACTGCTAACAAAAAAGAAGACTTGATACGGATATATTTTACAGTAGAAGTCAGTTGAGTGAAGTTATGCGCATACGGCACCCGAAATTCGACAGTCCCATTGAATCGCCGTCAACAACTAATGAAATGAGAAAACATTTAATCAGTTCATCTCAAGGATCTTCTTTTAAAATGACAGAATCACAACAGTGTAAATCAAGGCAAAGTTCACCGCGTCTTTCTTCCACTGATGGACACGTGTCATCAATATCTGGCATGTCAGAATCTGGTGAAGATCCAACCAATACCTACCTAAATCCGGATTTTACTGACCCACAATTAATGACAAAAGTAAGTAAAGTTTTAAATATTTCACTTTATTTAATTTAAATTAGTAAACAGTATTTACATATATTGTGTTGTTTTGGCCAGGGAAGTATAACTTCGGCAAGATGAACACTTATTAAACGCACGTGTAATCAAATCAGATGGTCGAGTCATAATTCACCACCATCAGACTGATTTAAAGTACTGATATCAGTTTTCAAGTTGCTAAGTGAACTACAACCAATATGATGAGATACTTTGTAACCAACTTGTATCTAACGACAATCGAATTCATGAAAAATCCACTTCGTTAGATGCCAAGTAGACATGTCAATAAGTGTGTTCGACAACATAAATTACAGCTTTAGCATTTACCCCGACCATGCATGTGGTTTGTAGTTCGATTCCAGGCTGGCTCACATTTTTACTTCCCATAGCCAGTTATAAGCTCGACAAAGAGGGTAGGTTGTGTGTGAGGCTAGCAACCCCCACCCCGTAAGAAAAACTGCTACTGAAGCTTGAAGGCTCAAGGCTGAAGCCGTATGTTCCACTGGGAATGCAAAGGGCAAAGGAATAAAAATGTTTCTGCATTTAACACCTTTTGTCCGGATTGTTAAGTACATCGTGTTGAGTAACTCATAAAACTGAACTGAAGATCGGCACCTGTAATCTATATTCCTTTTTTAACCTAATATTCGTTTGAAAAGCGATCAAATCAAGAGCAAGACAAAATTTAATTTCATTTGTCATCATAATGATTTCACGAATTCACCACTAAAGTCTATTCATTAGATTTCAGTTACAGTCAAACCTAATGGCAGTGAACGACATAGATTATGTGTTCACAACTAGTGTTGCAACAATATATGCCAAAAAGGTCTTTTCATGTGAGCAGTTTACGAACGTATCATAAAACCCTAAACTTAGCGAAGCTCAAGCTTCAAAATGAAGCCCATTTTATTATTATTATTATTTTGTTAGGATATTTGTTGGTAAAGCTGTGAACTAGCGGGTTAGAAGTCATATACAGCCTACCTTTCTACTAACTAACTAAACACGTTATTACCCTGCCGAAAACTGGTAATCTAATTCTCTTATATCGCGCATTGATTTTCTTGAACATGTTCAGAAAACTAAACAGCATGTGTAGTAAAACAATCCACCTTATTGTGTTATTAAAGTTTTTAAGTGCAAGAAACCAGTGGATTTTCATGTCTCATATAATATCCCTACTTTAATGAACGACACCATTTCTTCAGGTAGGATCCGAAGCTTTTTCTTAGGGAAGGTGACTATCTGGAGTTATGTCATTTATATACTGAATAGTTATATACTTGTTGGTTAGTAAGAAATATACTATCAACCGGCCGAAAGGTGAAGTTTTAATCTGATTCCTTTTAACATTTTGGATTGATTAAGTTAACAGTTACACTGTGCATCTCTGATTTGGGGCATCAGCACTTCATTTCATAGTTTACCTAACGCCTAAATTTACCATTTCACTGGTAATCCGTGAAAATCACCTTGATGTATTTTATTACTCATTTTAGTAGGGAAACAAGGATAGACACACATAACTCTGGCTTTTGTTTTGCATCAATGTCTGGTATAGTCTTGGTTGCGAAAGTTGTCACTTAACAAACTGACCTGTATTACTTCGTCTTACAATCCCCACATCAGTTAAAATATTTTTCAATCTTTACTTCTGTCTTTATTTAGTTAGGCTAATTTTAGGAAGACATTATCTTTCGGATATAGAAAAAAACTAAACTCACAACGTTATATTTAATAGTCTTCGAACTAACAAACATTTCTGTCCATTTATTTTATTGATGAATAAAACGGTTTCCACTCTATCTTTTGGCCTGACTAACTATCAAATTCTATTGACTTGTGTGCATGATTCAGTTGAGTTACGTGTTTTTCCCGTGAACTGTTTAGTTTACTAATATGTGTATAAAGGAGAAATTAAACTGGTCTTTAGTATATAGCATATTAAAACTAAAGTTACTGGTATGAAAAACTGGTCCATCTGAGATCTCTTAAGTTATCTCGTCTAAAATCCAGTGTGAAAGCCAAATTTTTGTTAATTTATAGAATTATCTCCTCTGATACTGATCCATGTCATATGGCTGCAAGCAAGCAACATCAGCACACAGTGTTACAAAGTATCGTGTCACTTTGGCAAAACGGTCTTATCACAACTTTGAGGGACGCATGTTGATAGACACTAAGGATCTCACAGGTAAATAGTTTACTACCTGGATAGGAATTCGTGAAATCTAGGAATAATCAGCAAATCTGACAAGATACTAAGACACTTTAAGATTGGAGTAATTTGCTGAACATCTCTCGAATGCCTGAATGTAATCCACTTTCTAGAATATACTATTAAGTAATAGAAGTGTTCCTGCGGGATTAATATAGATTTAGCACCTAGGCGCTATGTTGGAATGTGGTTCCATATTAGATAAGCTAATATAACAGTATTGTGCTACGGTTTGAGCACAATTTGTTGCTCATAGTCATATAAGTGTGTTCGTTTTCCTTAGCAGTCTGTGTTACCTGTTTTGAGAAATAAATTAGCCTTTTTTGTTGACTTCTGTATATTGGGGAGGGGGAGGGGGCAGCTTTTGGTTATTAATTACTGTCATTATTATCCCAATGTATCGACTAAGAAATATTTTCTGCCTAGATCAAACAGACAGGTTTTTATCGGTCAGAATCCACTCATAATGAGAGTTGTTTTTAAAGATTAATTCGTAGCTTACTGTTGCATAATTGTCATGGATGTACTTTTCTATCGCATTCAATAGGACTTTTTATTTATATATTTGTTTTCGAATAAGGTAAATTACAAAAATACAACTGCTCTGATTCTTTACTTTGGTAACTCATTAGCTATCAAACTGTATTGGCATCTGGATATGATTGGGTGGCTACTGCTACCAGTAGTCCTATGAAGCATGATTGTAGACAAGCAACGCTAACCGATCGTTTGTGCGTAAGCGGTAATAAAAGGTATCACGAATAATTGTATAAGTGATTTATCATCTTTAAGTTAGTGATACGTGTTTATATATATGCATATGTATGTGTTTATTTTTTTAAGAATTATAAATATCTCTTATTATTCAGAGATTATACTTTCACCTCACTTTGACATTCGACAATAATTTATAGAATCCGAAATCATTCTGCTTATAGTGTGTGATCAGGAGGATTTTTCAACATCAACATACAACAGTTAACTGAAGAATAATAATCAGAATAAGTGAAATCATATTACCCGTTTGTTTTCCAGTCAGAATAGATGATAGATTTTTCACTAAACTGTTTTATCCCTATCTCTTTTGAGCATTCAATCAAGTTGAGCGATGAATACTTCAACTCCAAAAGAACTACCTTTGTGGAATTTACTGTCCATGCATTCAGTGATATTCATCTTCTAGAATAGCCACAGTTAGCTATCACTTTTTGCTCAATAGTAGTCACGAATCATTCCCCTGAGTTGAATGCATCAGATTGTCAGCTATATTGATGCATTAGAGAAGCAACGTCAACCATAACATACTATTTTTGCTCTACACTACTATAATAAAATATAATAAAACACAAAATTAAAGAATTAAAAGAAAATTCAGTAGACAAACTACTTAAATTCATAGCATTTCTAATAGATTCTGCTTTGAACTTCTGTTTGATAGGTAGTAGAAACGTACATATCATCTGCTCATGAAAGCTGTGTAGAATTCTCCCTCTTTGTGTGTTGTTGATGCCTTGGATGTACACATAGCTAAAAGAGTACGATATCCATAGAAGATTTTAATATTCTACTTATTTGTACTTCTAAATCAGTATTAGAATCTGTGATCTCTGGTTATAATATAGGACCCTTATAGGTAAAAAGTGTTTTAACAAAACATTTTATTTATTTAGAGATAGACGCTGCAAGTAGTGACTCTGGTGGCAGGCTGTTAACGGAGTTATGATTGCTCCACACATTCAGTGCATCATAGTATGGAATTGCAGAGAACATTTGTTGGTCAGAATGTAGGTGTTCTGGTTGAGTTGTTAGCTGGAGCGTATTTTTCGGATGGAGGTTCCAGTAAAATTTCAGTCACTACCTTCTATGATATAAGAAGACTCTGGAAATGCTTCATTTTGATAGATTTATATCCACTAATAGTCAGAAGTAATAAAGACTCATTGAATGACTTATCAAGGTAAAACTACATCCCAAATGTAGTCAAACTACAATTCTGGAACGTGTATTGAGGATATGAAATAATTAGATGAGGACTAATGAGAATTCTCAGGATCTGAATGATAACAAATAGTTAATACTTTCGCACCATTTAAAACGATTTCAATCCCTGTCACCAACAGTCTCCAACTATTGATTCTTAGTTGGTATTCAGTGTCTTCCAGTGAGAAAGGCAGTCCCTACATAACGTGAACCAAAAGCCGAAGACTTAATCGACTGATATCATTTTTCCTTTAATCACTTAAGGTATTTTGATAGTCTGGGCCTTCTTTGGATGACACTGCTTGTCAAGAAATGCAGCAGCTAGTCATGCATAACAGATGCTTAGGTCACAACTCCACCGGCCGGATTTTCCCCTTTATCCAACATTTTATGCATGACCTTATGATAACTGACTATTTCGCTTCCGCTAACACAAGACATTGGATGAAAGCATCTGTTGCCCTGAAGAAAATCTTCAGTTTGTAAATTATTAAACGTGAATATCCTGTTAAAACACATGGTGTTCTCAGCAGCCTATACCATTTACTGTAGTGCACACAAAAACATTACTTTACATTGTACAGAAATGTTTAAGTTAGCTAAGGTTATCTATTGAAGTTGGTGAACACCGATGAGAAGTGTTTTTCTGGTCTTCTCAGAAATGTGGAACTGAAATCATTAAAAGCATCATTATTACTAATCATGAAACGAAATAAGGATGTTACTTAATAAAGTACACACTGGTCCATATGCTTTTTACTTCAAAGGCATGCAT